GGCGAATGCTCTGGTAGAGACTTTCTCTCCTTAGAAAACAAAGCCTCTGCGTGTGTGTGTGTGTGTGTGTGTGTGTGTGTGTGTGTGTGTGTGTGTGGTGTAGCATAGCAACCGGATCTTTGCAACAGCAGAGTTGGAAACAACAGTGTCCCACTCAAAGATGGCGCCCAAAGGCACTGCTTTGACAGTATGTTGTTCTCTACTGTCTGGGCAACAATCCAGTCTTTCACATCAGACTCCTGAAAGGGCTCAGTAGCATCTCCTATTCCAGACCTTTGACTCCTAATTCCCCCCATTCCATGTGTTCCAGTTCACGGACATTTAAAAAATTCTAGTCTGTGCTGATTTCCCCGACGGTGACCAAACTGGTTCAAACCAGTTCAAGGCTCTGTTTAAGCCACCATTTTAAGTTTACCACATACAAAACTCTGGGCTAAGAAAGGTGGGTGTGTTTTTTGTCTTCCCCTCTCAGATATATCATTTTAATCTACTATCATCATCTTTCGATACTCTCTGATCATCAGGGTAGTCTCATCCGTCACTTATGGTCAGAGGGAACTCACCGGAGGCTTATTCCATGTGTACATTCCGAATAGTGTGTTCTTCGAGCACCTTAAGTGGCTGACCCACAGAGGTGTCCAATCAGTGGTGCTGATCCTTGGAACCAAAGACTTTTGGGTCTTGTGGGAAGAGAGCATGTTGAGTTGTTCACTGATGGGGCAGGTGGACCCTGCCCCAGGAGGTGGGCAGCCAGGGATGGCTTCTGGGAGCCGGAGTGGCGCTGGAGTTGGCCCAGGGTGCTGTGAGGCAGTGGGTAGGATTAAGCAGGGGTCTTCTCCAGGGTCTAGTCAGGAAACGTAGGCTAGGAAATGCAGCCAGGACCCGTGGTCTCCATGACTGGTCCACCTGCCTTTTTCCTGGGGGTGGGCTCCCAGGGTGAGACTTGGGCCTCCCTGTGTCCTCCCTGCCAGGCTCGGCATGGAACATGATGGCCAGGGCAACAGCTGTGCAGAGGAGACCAGCCTGGGCAGCGTCATGGCCCCCCTGGTGCAGGCAGCCTTCCACCGCTTCCACTGGTCCCGCTGCAGCAAGGTGGAGCTCAGCCGATACCTCCCGTAGGTAACCTCCACCCTCAGGGCCAGCATGGCGCTCAGAGCAGAGGACACAACTGGCTGTCGGCCCAAGTCCTCCCCTCCTCCACGGCCAGCCTCGCCCTGCCTGCCTGCCCCTCCTGTGATTTCTATCTCTCTTGGTGTGTAGCCAGGCCCCACATGTACTATTTAGCACCCCTCCTGGGGAGCCCGGTGCTTTAGTGTGTCTTCCAGTGACTTCTTGTGTCGCCTCACCTGAACTCAGTTCTCAGCCTTGCTGACAGGCTCCAGGGGTCTCCAGGGAGGCCTAGATTCAGGGCATTGGACTGGATTGGGGTGGAGGTGGGTGGCGGCGGCAGGGACAGGGTTCTCGTCCAGTGTACAGGTGGGCTTTTCTTCTCCCCTCCATCCAAAGTGGGTCTTCAAATGGAAGCAGCCCTTCATCTTGGCCATCGTGTGACACTCGGGCTTGGACAAGTGACCCCTAGGAGAGCTGCCAGCTGACGCTCAGCCCCAGTCCCTGGGCCTCCAGATACAGCGGATGCCAGCCCCCTGTGGGCGGGGCATGCTAAGGGGAGCAGCTGGCTCCTGGACAGGAGCTGTAGGCTCTCCCTTGCTGCTAACAGCCTAGCCCCGAGGAAGCGGGGGAGCTGCTGCCCTGGGCCTGGCTCATGTCCGTTTCTGCTGCCAGCTCCTATGACTGCCTCCTGGACGACCCCTTTGAGCCCACCTGGCCCCGGCCCCCGGAGCTTCCCGGGATCGACTACTCTATGGATGAGCAGTGCCGCTTTGACTTTGGCACCGGGTACCAGACCTGCGAGGCGGTGAGTGCCCGCCTTCTGTGGCAGGCGAGAGAGCCAGGGCGATCTCCTATGACCAGGCATTCACGGAGCACCCTCTGCCCAGCCGGCCTGGGCTGGCCAACACCACGGGGGTGGGGAGGACTCCCTCTGTGCTCCGTCCAGGCACACCTGTGTGTGTGTGTGTATCTATGATGTGTATGCATATGTTCATGTGAATGCATGTGTGTATTTGTGTGTGTGTGGTGTGTATGTGTGTATGTGTATGTTTGTGTGTGTATGCGTGTGTGGTTGTATCTGTGGTGTGTGGATGTGTGTGTTTGTATGTGGTTTATGTGTGTGTGTTTGTATGTGGTGTATGTGTATGTGTGTGTGTAGGGTTGCAGGAATGTGCAGTGGCTTGAGAATGCCTTTGTCGTGAGAGACATGGGACTCAGGTGAGACAGGTGGACACTTGGGAGCCTGAGTAGGCCAGTGACTTACCTGCCAGGGTCAGATCCTGTCCTTTGTACCACCTGTCCTTCAGGGGCTTCGTGTGATGTTGGGCTGGCTCCCCACGGCAGTGAAGCCCTGTACCTGCACACCTCCTTTCTCCCAGCATCCCCTCCATGTCTGGGCCATAGCTCCCAGGGGAGCCAGGTGGTCTCCTCCCTGCAGGCAGGCAGGGGAGAGTCTGCACATCAGATAAGAGCTCCTCCGAGAGAAGTGAAGAGCCCCTGGCCGGGGCAGATAACTGGGCTCAGCAAAGGGGCATCTCAGTGAGGGCTTTCTGTGGGAGCAGGCTGGGGGAGCTGGGAGCCCCAACTCCACCTCTGGGAAGTGCAGATCCCTCCTTACTCTGAGGCTCCAGGAGGCCCTGCTTGGTATCACAAGTGGCCCCGGGGTGTGGTCCCTACCCAACTGCCCAGGCCACCCTGGGACATGTGTGACAAAGCATTGCTTCATAGCCGAGAAATCGCCGGGGACCTGGGGCTTCGATGGCCAGTACTGCCAGCCAGACCGGGACTCACGGGAGAGAGCATTAAGCACGTTCTGAGACAAGCGGTCCCCCTCTGCCAGTACTGGGCGTCCTACCCCGGCTGTGTGCGGAGATCTGCAGCCCCTCCGTGCCTTGTATACACACAGGGGTTGGGGCTGCAGGCACGGACTCCCCAAGGCCCGGTCCTGCTTGTGGCAGGCACAGGCAGAGGGGAAGCCTGGGGAGGGGTCAGGGCAGGGGGGTGGCTATGGCTGTGGCTTCTCGGTGCCTTGCCGCAGGGAGGAAGGATTGCCTTAGGCCACGGGGCCTTGAAGTGGAGTCAAGCTTGAGGTTGTGGGGCTCTAGCCACCGGGCTTCCCCTGCCTGCCTCCCCGGACTCAGGGTCCCAGCACCCATCAGCCCCCTCTCCCTATCATGGATACCTGGCCAGAGCTGGAGAGCCAGCCCGGCCCAGTGACCCCACTTTCCCTTGCCATGCAGTTCAGGACCTTTGAACCCTGCAGACAGCTGTGGTGCAGCCACCCTGACAACCCGTATTTCTGCAAGACCAAGAAGGGGCCTCCGCTGGATGGGACTGAGTGTGCACCCAGCAAGGTACATTGGGGCCGTGGGGGTGGGGGCTTGCTGGAGCGCAGGTCCAGGAGAACTTCCTTCCACTAAGTGTGGGGATGAATGTGACCTGGTGCTGAAGGACTGGTTAGGCCAGGGGCTTCTCGAGAACACACTCAGACTCCTACTCTTTCTCCGAACACACCCTTTGTGTATACCCACAGTCCTTTGTTTCTGGGTGTGAGGTCTATTAACCAACCTCCTTGGCAGAAATGCTTAATCCCACTTCCCAGATGGGAAGAATGAGGCCCATTGAGCTCAAGGAACTTGTCTGAGGCTCTGTCTCCCCTCCACATGGCGCTCCCCTCCCCCAGTGTGTAACCCCCCACCCCCCACCCCGCACCTGTGAGTGCTGGACCTTCACCCACCAGACCACCTCAGGCTAAGGCAGAGAGCCTGCAGCTGGGCCTAATTCATACCTGCAGCTTACCCACTCCGGGTCCTGGACCTTGGGGCTGTGACGGCCCAACCGCCAGATCACTCTAGGCTCCAGGCACCTGGCCTGCTCTCCGTCCGAAGCATGACTCCCTCAGGGCAAGGGAGAGAGCTCTGGGATGTGGGTGGTTTGCAGACCACGATCATAGGCCCGGGTCAGCCTCTGGCAACCGGGCTTCTTTGCTCCCTCATCGCTGACTACACGCACATCCTTCTCCTGCTGGGTTTAGGGGTCCCCTTGTCACCTGGACAGGGCTTCCCTGTCATCCGTGAGCCCTCCACCTGGGTGGCTTTCATCCAAACCCCACATTTGCCCAGCTCCAGGCCCCTCGGGTCCTAGTGTCACCTAACAGGTCCTCATAGACTCTCAGTGTTAGCTGCGACTTAAAAGTGTCTGGGCTTAAAAAAATCCCCCATGCCTAGAACAAGGAGTGGGGGTGGGGGGCTGCAATGTGGGGGGTGATGTAAATATTCTAAACTTGGGTGGTAGTGATAGTTGCATACCCCTGTTGCCGGTCTACTAAAAACCCTTGAATGGTACATTTTATACAAGTGCATTTCAAGATACCTAATTCATACCTCACTAAAGTTTTCTTGGAAACTATTCCCTACCCCTAGAGATTCTGACTGAACTACTGTGGGGAGAAGGCCAGGCATCTGGTTACCCCCGCTGCCCCGCCCCCACCCATTCCTCACCCCGAGAGGGCTTTTGCTGGGTTTCTCTCTTGTTCCCGACAGGGGAAGGGAGGGGAGTTGACTGTGGTCAAGGCCCACTTTATGCCTGGCCCTGTGCAAAGGGCTTGACTCAGAAAGGTCAAACATTTGACAGGTGGGGAGACTGAGGCTCAGCAAGGTCAAGTCAATGACCACGACGCCATGCACAGCTAGTCAGTGACAGAGCTGGGACGCAGCCTAAGTGGCTCTAACTCAAGGGCTGCGCGCCCTCTCCATAGGACAGCCACGGCTCCCAGTAGCTTCTGGAAGGTGACTTTGAGGTCCAACGCCAAGGTCAACTCTTGGTAACCTGGGGAGTCTGTGTTGTCTCCCTCCCCCCTACCCCCCAAGATGATACTTCAGTCCACTCTCCCAAATGACTGCACACTTATGACCACCACATACAGAGAGCTGTGTAAAATTCACATCCGACCGTGGAGGACTAGGCTCTGAGAGGCAAGTCGTGTGCCTAAGGTGACAAGTCCTGGCCCAGCTGGAATTCTGTCTAATCCCAAAGCATGTGTCTATAATCTCTTCTCCCAAAGGGTCCCCACCCCCTTTCCACATTCCGCCTCTGGACTCACCCCTGCTGCCCACCAGCCAGGCTGGCTGCCTGGGTTGGGCCCTCCTCCCTGGCAGACCAGGCGGCAGGGCAACCTCACACCCTCTGCTCCGCCCCAGTGGTGCTTCAAAGGTCACTGCATCTGGAAGTCTCTGGAGCAGATGTATGGCCAGGATGGAGGCTGGGGCTCCTGGACGAAGTTTGGGGCCTGCTCTCGGTCCTGCGGGGGCGGCGTGCGATCCCGGAGCCGGAGCTGCGATAACCCCCCGTGAGTGTGCTGGGCTGGGCCCGCCAGGGGGCTCCTTCTTAGGAAGCACTGGGGTCCAGGACAAGGGAGAATGCAGATGGGGGGCATCCTGAGGGAGGGCGCCTGGAAATGCGGGGGTGCGGATCACCTGCATGGGCATTGGTTAATGAGTGTTAGGTTTGGCAGCTGCGACGGGGTCTGAGCCTGAGATACTCAGTGTGTGTGTGCAGAAGATTCCCCGGAGAGACGGTGAGCTCGGGACTCCCCCTGCTTAACAGCCCTTCTGCCATAGGGCCCTCAGGCTGAAAGCTGAGCACACACTGATGGGAGGTCCCTGAGTGCTTGGCTCCTAACCTCTGGGCGGGCAGCTTGAAGCCACCCTGCAGTAGTGCCTTGGAAGAGAGGCCTGGGGATCGCATCTGCCGAGATTACAGACTCGTTGTGAGACAGGGGTCTCCATGAGTTGGAATTGACTCAAGGGCCACAGGTTTGGGCTTTTGTTTTGCTGAACTCTCAGTCGTTGTGCTGTGGGACAATCATTTCCCCACGCAAAACTGCCGCTTCTTCTCCTCCACCTGCCTCTCTCTACCATCCCAGCCCTCCCAGCTGTCAGTATTCTGGGGGAGGAAAAGCCCATCTTTCCCTTCCCATCCTTCCCAGCCCCAGCCCTCCACCGCCTCCACCTCCCAAACACAAGCAGCGTATTTAGAACTGCCCCGTGAGAGATGGAGGCTGCCCCAGGACCAGAAGCGAGGCCCCTGAACCCCCACCCAGACAGGAGCCCTGGCCCAGCCCGCTCCCCAGGTAGAGTGATGAATAATGCAGAACTGCAACTCCTAGGACCCCAGTGGCTATAGGGTGCGCATCCCCTAGCATCCTCAGGCATGGTCATTTATACACGTTGTTGACCTCCAGAGACGGGCGCAGCTCACTAGCTGTGTAAGCAGGTCTTTCCTTGGGTGGATGGCTATCTTGACCAGTTAAAATGTGATCCAAGGTGCGTGGCCTCGCACCTTCCACCTGTGTCTGCCCCAAAGGGTCGGGGGTGGGTAGGGGGTGAGGGGTGGGGTGGGTTCCAGGTAAGCTGGCTGCACAGTCAGGACAAAGGGCTCTCCCCTTGGTCAGAGGTGCCACCGCCACATTCCTCCTCTGCCATGGTCACCTGTCCTTTTCACGACGACGCCTCAGTGAAATAAGATGAGTACTCTCAGCGCCATGCCGGCACAGCTGAAGCATTTAACAAGTTATACTAGTGATCACAGCAACGTATCAAGCACTCGCGCTGTGCCAGTTCGGGGCTTAGATGCACCAACCCCAAACCAGTTCCTCCGCCCTGGCGACAATTCCAACTCCTGGGGCCCGACGGGCGGAGTAGAACCGCCTCCTCAGGGTTTCTGAGCATGTCAATCTGTCTTCTCCCGTGGAGCACCTGGTGGGCTCCAACCAGGTGTGTTCAGACTTAGTAGGTGTGTAAACCATGCCATTCTCTCAGCCTCGTGTACACGGACACCTCTTCCAGCATCTTTTAACATCATGGCGAAGAGAGTGCAGGTGGCTTTATGACACACACAGACACAGACACACGCGCGCAGTAGGCGCAGGAAGAGGTAGCTGGTCCCTCTGTTGCAGGGCAGGGAAGGCACAGGCCGCTTAAGTGACTTGCCCGAGGCTGCGCAGCAGGACTTAGAAAGCACCTCCTGTGACTTCAAATGCAAGTCTCTTTCTATTGCTCCCCAGTGCTTTAAGAGAGTAAATGGACCGGCCCCAATCCAGGCCAGCAGCTTCACAGAGCTGTTTAAAACGAAAATAATTTTTTAAAATGAAAAAGATAGTAAATGGAGGAGGACCCGAGTAGAAGTAGTCGGTCCATTTATTGAATGTGTATTGAGGTTTGTGTAATGGCTTCAAGGAATAGGCAAAGATGAATAAGACTAATTACTGTTCCAGTGCAACTGGAAGGGATTAACCTCTCTCTGTCACACACACACACACACACACACACACACACACACACACACAAATACAGTCTCACTCTCCCAGCCAGCCAGGTCACCAGTCTCTCTGTGTCTGCCCCAGCCCAGCCTATGGAGGCCGCCCGTGCTCAGGGCCCATGTTCGAGTACCAGGTCTGCAACAGTGAGGCGTGCCCGGGCCCTTTTGAGGACTTCCGGGCCCAGCAGTGTGCCAAACGCAACTCCTACTATACCCACCAGAACGCCAAGCACAACTGGGTGCCCTACGAGCCCGAGGACGGTGAGCAGGCCCAGCTTCCCCCTCCCACCCGATATCACCCTACTTCCCTGGGCACCTGCTGGCCTACATCTTCTCAGATGGGGCTTCCCCCCAGGGGTTTTCAGCTGCCCCAGCCAGGAGCCTGGCTGGACTGCCCCGTGAGGGTGGAGGGACAGTGGGGGCTCCAAGAGGCTGGCCAGTTGCTCCGTTGCCTGCATCTGGGTCTGGCCCTCATTATTCGTGTTTCTGACTGGCGCAATTGTTAGGACCATTTCCTAGCAGATGCAAGTGCAGCATTTCAAGGAGGGGAGCTTCACCCTGAGGTGCATGGGCGCTGGAAGCAGTGTCTTTCAGACATCTGCCCTCACCTCCCTTGGGCTCACTGCAGACACCAGCATCCTGAAACGTGCAGGCCTATGGTACACTCACTCAAACTCCCTGCCGACATGCAGAGACCCCACAGGCTAGGGGAGAACCGCCCTGCGAGTGTCCTAGCATATTAACTCTTTAAGGGGGTAGAAAGACCCATCCTGGCTGCTAGTGGTTTCACACTGCTGACCCTTTGGATCGCAGCCCAGTGTATAACCACGGCACCACCAGGGCTCCTTATTGTACGTCAGGCCGGACAAATTGCGTTCCTAATGGATTCCCCAGCGTTGTACAAAGAGGTCCTTTGCTTGGCTGCTAATCAAAAGGTTGATGACTTGAAGCCACTCAGGTGCCTTGGAAGAAAGGGCTGATGATCTACTTAAATGAATGAAAAAAGTCCACCTGAAATCCCTATGGAATTCTAGTCTGACACACCAGGGCTCCCCAGGAGTCAGTGTTGAGTGACTATGGCACTGATTGAAATTAGGTGCAATCAAATGATGGTACTAATTTTTCACCTAACTACATCTGCTATCGTCAGCTTTACGGTTCTCTCTGTCTGGTAACAACAGGCTGTTCACATCCCTCAACGGTGGGATTCCCAGGAGGCTTAGGCCGTGGGTGGACCCCTGCAAATGGGTTTTGGGCTTCCACTGTCAGCCGTAGCTTTCTGCAACCCTGGTGTTCACAATCTATGCTCTGATACCATTTCTTTCTTTGGGTTTGGAGTTTTAAACTTACAATCCTTGGATCACACAGGCTGGTGTTCTTCTTCCATGTGGATTTAGGTGATGCCTCGCTTAGATGACTGCTTGTTTGAAGACAAGCCTTTAAGACCCCGGAGGGTATTCTTTGTGAGAGCCAGGGACCATCTGGTTTCTTCACCACGCTTCGCCACAGCACCCATATCTTCAGTGCTCTCTTCATGCGGGCTAGCATCAAATAGGACTGTGTCATCACTCTCATGGTTCCTAGATGTGGGGCCAGAACCAAGTGTGAGCCCCAAACTCAGCATAGATCTATGGCTCTTATAGGTCTTAGAGACATCGTTATCATTTTATGTCAGAGAACATTATCAGTCATCCCCCTGGGGCATAAGGTAATTTTATCGATAGTGTCATTAATTTAGCCAATGGCATAGAATTAAAAACACTGTTGAGAAAAGGAAATTATACTCATATAGACTGGCTATGAATGGCAACACATGCATTGTTGACTTGTCTAGATTAAACTCTTAAGTAACTGGCCACTACTCACACCAACAGCCCCATCTGGCTTTAGGCATGGCCACACATGGCTCCCAGAGTGGCCGGGTTGAGCCAGGGGCAGGCTGGATCCATAGTGTCTTCAAGCTTTCACCCTGGAAGGGACTCTGAGGGCCTCTCATTCACCTCTTTCCTATGGCCAAGAGGCCCAGAGGGACAGCCCCCAGCCTCTCCTGGGCCCCATTGATGAGTACTTCGACACCCGCCCTCCACCCTGAGTTCCAGACAGCCCTGGTTAAACCCCCTCCTCTCAGGAAGGACCCCCTTTGTCACCCAAGCCTCCAAGAGCATTCTGCAGCCTTTTACCCTCACACAGCATCAAGCACTTCCCCCAGCCATCCACTGAGCTGGGCCACAGATTCTGAAGCATTCTCCCCGTGCCACTGCTGACCAGCTTCTGTAGCTAACCAGAGACCTGCCTAGCCCCGTGTGCTGGTCAGGGAGGAGCCTGCCTGAAGCCCAGTGGGTTTTCCACTCATCCATGAGTTCCAAGTAGTTCCAGACTTGAGTCACCAAGTGTCGCAGGATCTCAGGGATCAGAAAGAGGAAGCTACCTCTTGAAGTCTCACTGCAGCCAGGGCCCATTCAGAATCCACTCAAGCAACCGTCAGAGTATGGGAAGGGTCAGGAGGCCAGTAGGCAATGGGGTTTTTCCCAGGACTGTGAGATAAATTCCAGGAAGTTAGCTAAGTCTCAACCTCCTTTTTTTCTAGGAAGTACAGCAAGTGTTTATATGTTCTCTGAAATCTCCTTTTTAGGACATCAGTAGCTCCGACAAAGCAAAGAGCATTTCATTGTTAGAACCTGAAAGGACCTCCCTGCTGCTCAGTCGTACACACCCCAGTGCAGGCATACTTTCCCCAGCCTGCTAGTGTTTGCTAGCATGCGCAGACACACCAGTGTCAGGCAAAGGGCCAGAGAAGTGCATGTAGGGTCAGAGCTGGCCTAGAGCAAGCTGCCTGGGATAGAATCCTGGCTCTACCAGGATTTCTTGTCCTCTCTGGTCCTCCTTTTCTTCCTCAAATGCTACAACCAGTGGGGCCCTGGTGGTACTAGGAGCCTTGGTGGTGCTGTCGGGTAAAGCGGTAGACTCCTAAACCACAGGGTCAGCGGTTCAAACCCACCAGCCGTTCCATAGGAGAAAGGCGAGGCTGGCTGTCTGCTCCCATAACGATTTGCAGCCTTGGAAGACCCAAGGGGTCGGGCTGGGGCCAACTTTGGGGGTTTTAGGAGGTTCACCCGAGTGACTTCAGGAACAGTGTTCCATGGTGTGTAAGGCTTCGGAAGTATCTGGTCCACAACAAGCATTCACTTTCTTGGGGGTGCTGTTTCGCTTTTTCTCAACTGCCTGGGCAGCATTTTGCTGGGGAGAGAGACCCACAGTGGGGGCCCTGAGGCGCAGAGGTCAGGTCATTTGCCCAAGGTCACATGACTAATCTGTACGTGCCATAGCAGGGATTTTTTTCACTCCTCCACACAACCAGAGCCGACCCTGGGCTTCCTGTGTGGACCAGGTGGCAGGATCCTCCTGGGCAGCCCCTTCTCATAGCACAGCTGGGCACTCAGGGTGGCTCCTGTCCCCACAGATGCCCAGAAGTGTGAGCTGATCTGCCGGTCGGCAGACACGGGTGACGTAGTGTTCATGGACCAGGTGGTGCATGATGGGACGCGCTGCAGCTACCGAGACCCCTACAGCGTCTGCGCCCGTGGCGAGTGCGTGGTGGGTGCCCACCCTGGTGCCCCCCCAAGGGCTGCCCCCCTCTCTGCTCTTGAGCATCCCTCCTTTTCCCCATCACAATACCCCTTTGATTCCCGAGCCCCGAGCCCCGGCATGCTGGAAAGAGGTTTCTGCTTCACGCCATCCAAGGGGGCAGGCAACCACACAAAACACAGCCGCACCGCTTTAAAACCTGGCCAAGTTCAAGGGACTCCTGCTCAGAGAAGCTTGGGTGCACTGCAGCCGGATAGCTGGGGCCTGGGGGCCTCGAGGTAGGGCCAAGGTGGACAGGGGACCTCTTCCCACTGACCTCACTTTTGAACCCAGCCCGTCGGCTGTGACAAGGAAGTTGGGTCCATGAAGGCAGATGACAAGTGTGGTGTGTGTGGCGGCGACAACTCCCACTGCAGGACTGTGAAGGGAACACTGGGCAAGGCCTCCAAGCAGCCAGGTGAGCAGACTGGGGCTGGGAAGAGGGATGGCCGTTCTGGTCCAGCCAGGTTCCTGGGGCAGGGCAGGAAGCGGGGGAGGGGGGGGGAGGGGGGTGCAGAAGGGAGCATGAGCTGAAGGTGCAGCAAGTCCCCCCACCTGCTCCTTGGGCTGCTGTTGCTCACATTTGGGGCTCAGTAGCTTGAGGCAGCATTTTCCTACCAGGCAGTGTGTTGTGCTGAGAGCACAACCATCTCCTTCTTCCTGAGACAACTGGCAGGGGTGAGGGAACTGAAGGTGTGGTCCGGTGGAGCTGGTAACTTAATTTTTCCTCTCTTTTCACTCACCGTGAAAAAAGAACACAAATAAACCAGCCAGTGGTACCTTCTGCTTTGAATACCTGCTGTCAGAATCCCCTTCTTCACCCCAATCTAGCCAACTTGGAAAGGACCAGGGGTTAGTCCTTTACACGTTAGTATGAACAAAATATTTCCCCTGGGGAATGTAACAGCTTTGCCTCATCTCTTCTTGTGGCTGGTGACGCTGAGAATGGCTAATGTCCAGGCTCTTGATTGGGGGTGGGGGTGGGGCTGTGGGGCCAGGGTAGCCCTGCAGGATCTTCCCAGCCTGCCTGCCTCCTCTCTTCTACAGCGCTCATGGTGTGAGAAAGAATGGGGAAGCAAGAAGTCAGTGGAGGGGAAAGGAAGGGGGAGGCCCCAGAAGTGATAGAAGAAAGCAGAAAATCACAGCAATGCACACACACACACACACACACACACACAACCCGTTAGCATTTACAAGAGCTCTTTATTTATTATATTTATTAATAAGTTAGTTTGCAATGCACACACACACACACACAACCCGTTAGCATTTACAAGAGTTCTTTATTTATTATATTAATAAGTTAGTTTATGTCCACTGATCAGTCCATTGATCACACGTCTCAGTAGTTCCCTCACACCCATAAGGGGCTGCGCCATCAGCACCACAATCAGCTCCAGGACACTCGTTTGCACCCCTTGTTGCGAGCTCCCCATTTCCTGCCAGCCTCCCAGTCGCCTCCTTTCGGGTTTTAAATACAGTTCTATTGGCACATGATCCACACATCGTACAGTGCAATGGTTCGCTCACGTCAAGAACAGCTGCGCCCTCATCGCCACATCAGTTTCAGAACTTGCTTCATTCCTGTCCTCATCCGGATCGGCTGCTCATTTCCCCCAAGACTCCCCTGCCATCCCCCTGCCCCCACCCCCACAGAACCGTTAATTCAGTGACTCTCTC